GCAGTGCACCTAACATCAGGAGTCTGTGAAAACTTGAAAGAGCTCTAGACAGAAATATTTTGCATTTGACTCTGGACTGTAGCCTTTGAGGCCAAACTCAGCCTTCAGTGTTAAGTGGCTGCTAAGTATTTCCCTTCTTGTCTCAATGCTAACTAACTGCTGGGAGAAGGGTGCATATTCCGGGAAGGTTGGGGAGGGGTGGGTATGATAAAGGAGAGACAGAAGAGCATCCTCTTTTTCTTTAGTTCAGGAGCATAGCTTTGTGTCCAGATACCTCAATCCACAACCGTACAAGAGGGTTAAACTTTAACCTGCCTTGTGTTAAACTTCAAATGTACAACTTTTCATTTACATGAGCCACTTTCACACGTTCTCTTCCAGAACAGATCCCATCACTGCTGAAATCCAGCTTCGGTCAGGGCGGGTGCAGGCCTGTGGCCAGTCCCCGCAGCACTCTGTGCAGGGGCCCAGGGATCCTGTTGTGAATTAGCGTTGAGCTGTTACCAACAGGCCCTCTCCAGCCGACTGTTTTGTTTTGCCAAATGCGATTTTTGCTTTTTGAGAGCACAGGGAAGGTTTGGGGCTCAGCATGGGGTTTTCAGCCCTACAGAGGTCTGCCTTCTGTGGGGCCCCAGGGTAGGAATGTCTGCATGGCAATGCACATTTAACATGCCTGAAGACACCAGACAACTTTTCCCAGGAAAAAGCAATCAAACCCGACTGTGAATAGGGGGAAAAAGGGTGCCTTTTCCCACCATCAGAAGAAAACGCTTTTACGGGAGCTGCCATAAGGAACTGAGTAGGAACTGTTCCTTATGCTACCACATGATAGGAAATTATATGTCCTACTTCATCAGAGGATCTCAAACACACTTTGCAGGCTTTTACCATTTCTGTAGCCGCCCACAGAGGCTTGCTGATAAAGCTGCCCCAATTCAGGCTGTGCCCATGCTGCCAGAGCTCAGCCGCTCTGTCCTGACCGACCCCGCTCTGTTCACTCGGTCAGCTCAGTGCTGTCTGAGGAGCTGCTCTTGTATTTGCTTTTTTTCTGTATGAGATGTCAGTTGCGGACAAGCACAAGGAGTCACATGCTTCGAGGCTGGCACAGCCGTAGGAGCAATAGTTTCATCAGGCTTTTTCTCTGGAAAAACACAGCTTTTCCCCATGGCCCTGTGTGCGTAATGAGGCCCTGTTTGCTCCGCAGCGAGCTGAGCCTGTATTTAAGGGGCAGGTTCATGGATTCTGAAGCTGCCTGGAGAGTCTGCGGCCGCTTTGTGTTTTTAATTAAGTACAAAAATAAGTAGCTATCAGTGTAGGGCTATCTATTTATTTTATTTGGGGTTTTGTTAATGACACGCTGTCTTTCCACATTTTCAGTATTCATCCTGTGCATATGGCAGAATATCCTTCATAAAGAGTTGCCAAGATGCTCTGGGACTGTGGCCTACGTGTGCCAGTGTAATCTGCTAAATGAGTCACATTTAAATGGCAGTAAGGATATCTTTATGTTTCAGAGGAAAGTATCTCTTAAATGCACGTTACACTTATCCATGTTACTTTTTTCTCACTTGTGAAAACTCAGGCAGACAACACTGCTTCACTGAAGCCCAGTTTTATTAAAGCTGATACGATAACGCCTTGTCACACCCATGTGTGCAGAGGGAAGCCTGCAGGGGTTGGATTACTGACTATGGCACCTGCGTCCTAATACGCATGAGCAATAATCTAAAACTGGTTCTCTCAAAAGATTATTCTGCTGCATTTCAGCAGTCTCCCAAGCAGTAACTTTATGCCTCGCACTTGAGCTTGCTCTCAGGGCAGAATGGTGCCCTGGAAGTTCTGCCTGGGCAGAGGTGGTGATGCATTCTGTGCAGCCACTGGCAGACTCAGCTCCTGCTAGCAAAAGCCTCTTACTAGCCAGCACACAAGTTATCTGTTCTCCTGCAATCTGAGTGCCCCAGATACCAGCCAGGGATGGCAAGGTGATCACTGTGTCTCAGAGCTCCTGGTTCAGAAGGTAGGAATGGGGGAGGTATGTGGGCAGACTGGTTCCCTGCAGGGTCCTGTTGCCTGTTAAGGGTTAAAGCTTCACTTAAGGTGGGAGAAGTGCCAGAAAACATTTGCCTTACTACAAAACCCAGAGGGGAATGTTTCTTCCTAATCATCTCCTCAAAGAGATGCAAAGCAAAAGCTCTTGTCATCACACATCCCCTCCCTTCTGCACTGCCCTACCTCGTCCCCCTCAGCATAGCAGGAGAGCCTACTGTTAGAGCTAGGCACAGCTGGATTTTTCCCTGCTTGGTCAATGAGCTCAGAGCAGAGCCATGTATGCCACTGACTTACACATGTCAGATCCACTCTCTCTCCCATCCCCTTCCACACCTCAGCCTTCAATTTGCCGGCGAATTGTTAGCACCAGCACACTCGCCTCCAGCCTCTCAGCAAACTGACTGAGGGCACTCCATGGACACACAGACAATAGGGTAACCTGCTGTATTCCCCCTTTGCTAGCAATAGATTTCCTGGAGATTGTTCCTGTTAGCCACGCTTTCCAGAAATAATAACAAATTAACTTTTTTCTTCACTTTTAAAATGTTTTCAGTGCAACTACAATGACTGGGAGAAAGCTAGTTGTTAACTAGTCATGGGTAATTAATGACTCCACCTTCCCTATCAATCAGCTGGGAGAAGCCAAAAGGATTTGAGTACTTGAAGCAAATGTGTGTTCTCTAGACACACTGATATGCAGTGTGCAAATGAAGTGGCAGCAGGAGACCATCTCATACCCTTTCATGGAAGAAGCAGTAAGTCATGATACACATCCCACACTCTTGTCAGGTGAAGAGTCTGAAACTCCTAGTGATGCTGCTGCTGTTGTGCAGCTTCTGTGTGGGATGTTGAGCCATCTCGCTGCTAGCTTGAATCTGACCCAATTTTTGTTCTATTTTTCCTTTTCAGATTCTGATTATGGTTGTCTTTTCTGCTTTCTACAATTAAAGTACTAGTGTTAGAAAAGCAGGACATGGGAGGGAGACAGATTTGATGCTGGCTTTCGTTTTGTAGCAGAGCAGAAAAGCATTTCTGTATCCTGTTTTGGTTTTGTCCGGTAGTGGCTGCACAAGTACAAGCAAAGGAGATTTGACCTTGATACCGTTTTCAGCTGATCTTTAATGATTTATTTTCCCACATATGTAATAAATAATCTCCAGTTGAGCTACAAGTTGATGTTTCTCCACCACATGATAGCCTTCTCCTCTGTGGTACTGCAGCTCCCCAGCTCTGGATGTCCCCAAGTTAGCTGAAGGAGAAGAGGCTGTGGTCTGCTGTTTTATGCAGTAGTTTTAAAGGGATGTCAGGAAGGCTGGATGTGGTCCTTCAAAGGTACCAGGAGCCAGTGGACCATCTCCTGCTATAACTTCCTCCTCAGGACATCTTGAACCCTCCAACCCCTTTCTTTTAAATGTTCTTACTTGCCACACTAAGCATTGGCTTTTCTCTCCCTGCTTAGTACCGGGATGCCTAAAATTCAATATGCTGTTGGAAGAGAGTCAGTCCCTCCTGTGATTAAACTCCTTTGTCTTCCTTGCATGTCCTTGCATTGCCTGCTCCAAAAGGCAGTAAAAACAGAGCTAAAGGTATGTTTGGGTATAGGAACTGACTAAATAAATTCAGAATATGTTTTGCATGTCAGACTAAAAATCAGATGTCCCAATAACATCACTGACAAAAGAAAAAAATGTTTATTTTATTAAAGGCAAAACTAGACCACGAATCAGATGCAGCCTTATAGCAAGCTCTCTGAAATTTGCTGTGCAGGATCCAACACTGGCCCGCTGAGACTGATATCATGCTTTTGACCTCCACTTTCTGAACATCTTCAACCTGTAAATGTTAGTATAGCCATTTCTGTATGTGAATGCCTAGAAGTCCCTTCTTCACCGAGGTGTAGTGGCTGTTTTGTGCCCTGAAGCATGAGACTTGATTGCTGTCTCTTAGCACTTGTAAGCACTTATAAGTACAAAAGCTAATGGTCACACTTGTAGAATAAACTAATTAAGGGAAAATGCTCAAGTCCTTCAGTTTATGCTCAGCCTTCCTTCAGTAAGAACGGTGCCCTGAACAAGGCCAAAACCCAGTGCCTGAGCCACCATGAGACTCTTGGATCACTTGCACTAGCCCAGGAAGGTGCCAACTGAGGGATTTTGGTGCCAGTAAAATGATATGCTATCATGGCTGTGTCATTAGACAGTTGCAACTTTCACTCATGAAGCTCAGCTGAAAAGATTCTGCATGTAGAGCAGCCTCAGTCCTGAGCTTCAGAACAGATGTAGTGCAGCAGTGAGGACCCTGCTGTAGTAAAACAGCACAGCAGGAAAATTAATTGTGCAGTTAAGGGCTGTGAATGCAGAGATTGCGTAGGTAAGTAATGTTGTACCATCAAATGTGTTTCTGTTAGTGGAGAAGACATCTGTTGGTGAATGAACGCGTTGCCACAGCATCCCAGTTGCGAGAGCAAACTTTACCAGACTGTTAATCACCCACTTGGGAAGGAACAAGCTTGATACAGTCCTGATTCTGATACCAGAAATCAGGAGTAAAATGATTATGTGCTCTGGAGATTAAAATTGTATCAAATCCAAGGAATAGCATTTTTTCCTACTTGCTGTTTAAAGGATTTTTAAATTTTATAAGTAAGTCTTCAACTGATGTTTCTGGTCTTGTGTCTATTTGTTTAAAAGTGCATTAGCAGTAAATCAAGGTGCATTTCCCCTGTAGGGTTTCCTGTATGTCAAAGCCATGTTAATTCTCTTTGATTTTCTTCCCTTAGCTCCAGCCATTGCTGCAGATCCTTCCTCTCTTTGTCCCTTTGGACATCAAAGGATCGCAAGGGGACAGCCCTGGCAAGAAGCTCCTCCCTGCTCATTAGCCTCCATAAAACAGGAACTCACCTTGGCTAGCTGTGCTCGGGAGTTCCATCCTCATCCCAATCACTCTTGACACTGGATCTCAGAAGGAAGGGCCTTTGCTTGCTTCAGGAAATCAGACCTGCTTTTGAACTGGACTATTTTGGCTCCCCTTGGAAGAACTGTGGTGGCTCTCTCAGCCCTGCAAGCTCCTAGACTCCGCAGTACATGGAAAAATGCAAGCTTTACCAGGTAAGTAACAGACTCTCTCCTTTTCCTTATTGCACAGAAAGATCCTAGACTTATGCCAAAAGCATGCAATCATTTTAGAGAGAGAACAAGTGCTCCTGAAGGGTTACCAGCGTTTATAGTAGTGTGTGTGTGTGGCTGGAGAAGATTTGTGAAATGTTGAGGGTTTTTTTATAGGAATAGATGAGAAATTGTGGGTTTGAGTGTTCTTTGTGAACCTTGGAAGATCTTTTGTTAAGGTAGCAAAGATTTATTCACAGTTGCGCCCAAAACTCCCTTGGCCGTATCACCTTCTGCAGTGTGATTGTTCACTGAAGGCCAGAGGTGTTATTTGTATATTGTCTTCAAAGTCTCCTGAGTTCCTTCAGGTTGAAGGCCACAGAAGGTTTGGAAATATTTGTTATATTGATAATAATAGTTCTGACACAAACTGTTTTTTCTTTTGGGTTCTCTCTGCCCTTTGAAAGTATAAACCCCAAGCAGGCATACCCTACCTCTACCAGCTTCATGCCCAAACACAGGATTTTTATGATTTCCTTAGGGTTTTATTTATGTTTTTCTTCATCGGTGCATCTCATAACATGTTGTTAACTTGTTCTGCATGGGGCATGATCACATTGGGCACAATGACAGATATGCATTGGTGTCCTGGGTTTGAGTGAGTGGTGGGGTTTTTGGTAGCAGGGGAGGGGGCTATAGGGGTGGACTAGGGGCCAGTCCAAAGTCACTGCATTTGCCAGTGTAACTGAACCCCAAATTTAGTCTTGGGTTTTACTCTACGTCAGAAGGAAACAACTAGTTACTTAGTTTAGGTATGCAGTTCCTATGTACACGTTGGAGGTGGCTGGGTATTCTCAGCTTCATTTCTCTACCTCTGCAAAGTGTTGTTTCATTCATAAGCAAAATACATGTGCATGACTCAGATAATTTCCACCTTCATTGTTGTTTTGGGTTTTTATAAAGCAGTCCATATTGTATTGATCTGATTCATACTGATTTCTGCCACTTGAAAAGCAAAAGAGCAACATCAAAAAAAAACATAGACTGTATTATAGTATTTTATCATGTTAAAGATTTCAACTACTGCAGAAATCACCTCATTTTCTTATTGAGTTGTTTCTGGTGTATGACCCCACACAGCAGAAATATTAAATATTCCAGGTGATGACTGGGTACATTTGAGAGTTAAAGCTATTGCATTTGTAGAAACACTGTACTTTCGTTATTGCAGAAAAACTTTCTGGTTCTGAGAAATGAGGTTCCCTCCACAGGGTCAGGGTGTTTCCACTGATGTTTATAAGATCAGAGAACACAGGGGGTTTTTTGTTTGTTGGCAAGATTAATTTCTTAAGATAGCTTTATATATTGACATGCATTTCTTCCCTGTGGACACTGGATGGCTGTTAGCATTGGACTTCTCTCGGAAGGTAACAGCAACAAATGTAGTAATAGCTGATTTTAGTGAAGGTAAGAAGCATACCTTTTGCCTTGTTGGAATTTTCCCAGTATTGTAAACTCTATCCCATACATCTTGGAAAGCCTGCAACAAATTTTCTGACATCATAACATTGTCTCAGTAATTGACAATTAATTGAAGGACTGCTTTAGGTGAGTGGATTACACTCCAGCATCTTTTATCCAAAGATCTTATCCCCTCTTCAAACATTACTGAATTGACTCTCATTTCTCTTTCTTTCCTTTCCATCTCCAAGATAGGAAAAAGATACGTACAGCCTATTCTGGATACAGAAACTGAAGGACAGACTGCTCGTATTTGTATAAGGACTCAAAAAATCAAGCATGGAATAGATTGAAGATCTCTTAATTTTCAGTGCCTTTATCATAGCAGCTATCTTCCTTTTCAACCTCATCTTGGCATAAAGAATATGTTTTAAAATGTGCCACATGCAGTGTTACCATGACAATGATAATAATAATACCTTTAAAATAGCTTAGAACTAAAATTCTTGGAAAATGTTTAAATCTCTTTCAAATAATACTTAAAATAAAAACTAAGTTACATAGAAGGGAAAACAATAGAAGTACAGCTTTAACAAATTCAGTTCAGTGCTTGGACACCCTGCCACAAACCTCTTTATGCTGTAGTTCCAACATGCAGGCATCTTTGTGGGGGAGATGTGTGCGTGAGTCTTGGCATTAGTTATGTGGGCGTAGACGAGGAGTGAATTTGAAGTGCCTTGTAAGCCACAGCCTTTGGCTCTGCAAAGAAAATCCAAAGTGGAACCTACAGATGGATCCACCACTGCAGAATCCTGGTGAAGCCAATTGCACGGGACTGTAGTTGGCTGTGTGGATCCATTAGTGAGCTCACACCACTGCTGGCATCCAGATCCCCATGTATACTCTTAACATCCTGTTTTTCAGCCTCAGACTATGCACATGTAACCTGCAGAGTAAAAGACATTAACTACGTTTTAAAATCTTTGCTGCAATGTTTAATTCTATGTGCAGCTCCTTTTCCCTGTCTCCTGTAGTGTCTCACTCATACAGGTGCATTGTGGACTCATTTTGGTAAAAAACATTATAATATCTGTCTTTGATTTTTAATTTAATATTGAATTCCATTCACTTCAATTCCTCTTGATTTCATTGGAAGTCTCCCCTCAATAATGACTTCTGAGATCTGCCTTGTTGTAGTCTCATTTAATGGCATTGGAATTTGCTTACAAAAATGTTAATTGTAAAATTCATTTGGGGAAGGAGTGAGCATCTGTCTAGCTAATCAAAATCTGTTTGCATGTATTTGTGACTGGATGACTCCTGTGGGAAATCAGCCCGATTTTATTGTAACTCCTTTTGATACATGTGCTGCACTGAGCTACCGAATGCATCGTCTCATGGCAGCTTTCATGTCTTTGCAAGAGGATATGGGGGAAGCTTTAGTAAGAAGATGTTAACAGGCTAATCTCAGTGAGCAAACTAGGTGTCACTTCTTAGCTAGTTCATTAATGTTGGATCAAAGCAGAAAAACGGGTAGAGGATATTTTTTTAAAATGCCTGAAGACCTTTACATATGAACAAAATTACGTTTAAATGTTTTTTCTTTCCTAATACTGTGCGAAGAACCTCATAGACTCACATTGGGTGGTTTTTGTAGAAGGATGTCGCTTTCTGAAAAAAGCTAGTTTCTCTGGAAATAGTTGTCTACTTTTCATATTTATTCTTTTGAAAACATTACTCAGGAAAGATGTAACAAGGTGAAAATTCCCTTATTTCTGATATGCTCTGAATAAGATCTGATCAGGCTGAGAGGCAGAAAAATCTCTCTTTTAAACAAACAGCCGTGCGCGGCTGATAATGCATCACCCAGCAGAAGTGGCGTGCCAGCACTGAACCGAGGACAGCTCTGCTGCTGTGAGTGCCCCAGCGCCGAGCAGGCTTACCAATGCCTCCGTCAGACCCCAGGCAGTGTTTGTAAAGCCTTACTGGGTATGAAATCCGTCCACCAGTAGCTATAATAGGTCGCGTTTTGATCTAAAATGAAACTTTTTTTTTTTTTTTTGCCTGGTCCTTTCAGCACGGCAGCAGCAATCTTGCATGTGTTATGATATAATTAAGAGTGCTGACAGGAGATTTTTAGTCCAAACAGCTTTACAGAGGTGCTGGGTACCATCAATACCAAAGATAGTTCCTCCAGAAGTTTCCCTTTCCTCTTCCCCAGGACCACAGTTAGTCCTCTCCCTGTAGTAGAAAGTGCAGGCACATTGCAGGCAGCTCCTCTGCTGTGCTGTGATGTGTTACTGAAGAGGCACCTTCCACCGCTGTCACAGGCTCCTTGGTGGTCTCCATCTCCAAGTCCAGTTCATACGAGCCATCCTCTTTTCAGAATGTTCCATGATCTGGCTCTGTCCCCTCCCTTTCTTGCCTTCACTTACATTTCCGTCTCCTGTCTGTCCCTTCTTTGTCCTCCAAAGAGATTTTTCACCTCTGCTACCACCTATCTGTTGTTTCCTCCCATTACCCTCTGGTACACTTAAAATCTTCCCAATCCTTTCAGCATTTGTTTTATTCTCTTGGTAAAGTGTTTTGTGTAACCCTGATCATAGCAGAACAGGAATGAAAATGGATTGTGGCTGCCTGCCACTATGAGTTTTGGAACAAAGGAAGTCAGGTTGAGTTTGTACAACACACAGATCTTTACAAAAGAATTTATCAGCTAAAACCAAACCTGTTGGAAAAGCCTCTATGACTTCTGACCCTACTAGTAACAAAAAGCCTTGGAAGAAAAATAATGGATTTTCTTCAAGAGGTTTATTGAGGCATAGACTCCCTAGTTCTCAGCAGCTTCTGCGACCTTCACGGGTGAACTGTGTGGTCTGGGGCTGAGACGTACCGTGGCCAGAGGGGAGGAGTGACGGACAGATGTACGGACCCCGGCCGTTACAGCAGCGCGTGAAGCTCGGCAGCTCCCTGTACCGGGGGGAGCTGGCACTGGTGGAGGGTACTGGGAGGGCCGAGACGGGTGCTGCATCTCAGGACCCTGTCCCGAGCAGGAGAGGCTGCTTCACGCCGGCTCCCCTCCTGCCTGTCTGAATTTACCGCTTTCTCTCTCTCTCCTGGTAGACGTGAAAGCGCCGTGTGAGGCTCTTCCTTCCCCCAGCCTGGAGCCCTACCCGCAGAGCTCCATTGTGGTGACCCTCGAGGACATGAGTCTCTGGATGAAGTTTCATCAGATAGGAACTGAGATGATCATCACCAAATCGGGCAGGTGAGGGGAGCAGGACAGCTGCCCACTCCCACCCCTCCCAGCTGTTGTCAAAATCTCTGAGTGCTCATTTTTTGAACAGTGGCTCTTAAACTAGATTTGTAGTCAATTATGTGCATTTCTCTGCCCCTGGCAGAAGAATTGCCTTTTCAGGATATTGTAGACGGCCGAACTGTGAAGTGCAAAAGGTCACGTGATGTGCTGAGAAAACTTCTGTACTGTTATCTCACCACTTAACACTGATGTTCTTCCTGTTCTGGAGGTTGCTCTGGAAAGTGCCCTAGGCTTCCTTTGCCAGCAGCAGTCGAGCAGTAAATACCTGGTTTTGAGTGTGCATTTGCAGACAGGAACATGGCGTAGAATAGTAACGATCTGTGCGTGCAGACTGCTCTAAAGTTTAAATGAGTCATGCATTGTGGAGCTTGCAGTGAAAGAATATTAAATTGTGAAACTGTAATGTATTATGTCAAAGCTGCGGTGAGCCGAAATAATCCCTTTGGGTAGGGAGGTAGGTGTCAAAGCTTTTTTGCAGAGTCAGAAGATGAAAGTGGTGGCAGGGAGTACTGGAATGGAAAGCTAGATGTGCTTCTAGATGAGAGCACATTTTCTACCCACGCTAGAAAATGCTCTAATCTATCCTCCAGGTCTGTGATAGCTGCAGAAGGCTGGGAACTATGTGCAAATTCCAAATATTTTCTTTTAAGTTTCCCACTGTTGTGTTACAGGAATCAGAAGAACAAAAACAGTAACAATGTCAGGCCTTCAGTGACTGCTGCCCTGTTAGTGCCTATTCCACCTAAACCCGTAGGACTAGACAGTACATCAAAAAGATAGGAAAATGTTCAATAGCTGGCCTGTAGAAATACTACTATCAGAACTTTGCACAGTAATGAGTAAACATGACATGCTGCTTGATCATTAGACAATATCCACTTCATAGAGAAATCCTCATATTATATATTTAATTTCTCTTTCAGACGAATGTTTCCACAATGCAAAATCAAAGTCTCTGGCTTAATCCCATATGCCAAGTACCTCATGCTGGTAGATTTTGTGCCAATGGACAACTTCAGGTACAAGGTAAGTACTTTAAATAAGAGAAGTAATGCTGTCCTTCCATCTTTGTTTGAAATAGATTAATCTTCATGCTTCTCTGGCCAGGCTGATAAATAAATTGTCTTTGGACAAAGTTCAGAAGTAATTGGTGGATTTTATGCCTCTCTGGAGTTATTTGTCAGTTTTGCTTGGGGGGAAGCTGGCAAGGTAACTAATTTTCATTGTAAGGGGTACAGTTTTAATCATGATTAACGTCAGACTTCTCTGACAGCCATTGGGAAAAAGAGAGGAAAAATGAGGCCTAAACTTGGGAACTATTTTGGTAACATGATCATGGCTCATAAGAGCAGATCTGCTACTTGTGCTTCAGAGGAGTCCACTAAATTGACAGTGAAGCAAAGTTCCTGGGGCTTTCCTGTAATGAAAGCAGATGGGGTTTTTTTAAGCTCTAGATTTCTGTCTTTCCCTTCACAGTGGAATAAAGATCAGTGGGAAGTTGCTGGAAAAGCAGAGCCCCAGCTCCCTTGTCGCACTTACGTCCACCCAGATTCCCCAGCTCCTGGCAGCCACTGGATGAAAGAACCTGTCTCCTTCCAAAAGCTGAAGCTCACCAACAACACTCTGGATCAGCATGGGCATGTAGGTTGTAGCTGGCCTTTGTGCTGTGCTCTCTTGGAACTCATTGCAGATGGCTGTTACAGGCAATAAGTAAGATTTCCGAGAAATTAGATCATGTGGAAATTGAAACACACCCAAGTGCCCTTTCTTCCTTCCTCAGCCCAGCCCTTGTGCCCTCTTAACTACCTGCTAGGGAAGGCGTTATTCTGTACTGTGACTATAGAGGTATGGGGGAGATACCAGTCCCAGGCAGGCATCCCTGGTTTGAAATGGATGTCCTGGGAGTCTCCACGGGAGACTTTGCGTGGTGTGTTGGCAGTGGTTGCACATGGAAACTTTCTTCTTTGTCTGTCTCTGTGCCAGATCATCCTCCACTCCATGCACCGTTACAAGCCTCGCTTCCACATTGTGCAGGCAGATGACCTCTTCAGTGTCCGCTGGAGCATCTTCCAAGTCTTCAGCTTCCCTGAGACTGTCTTCACATCTGTTACTGCCTACCAGAATGAGCAGGTACAGCGTGCAAGTACTGCTCTTGGACACATTGATAAATACTGTCTTATAGAAATCTTGTAGAAGAAGGTGTCTCCTTCCGAGCTACTCGGCCTGGGCACCTGTGATGGACAGCAGGAAGAAACAGGCACATTATCGTTCCTGTGGAGAACATCTACTCTGGGATGAGATAAATCATGCACCTTAATTGTATTAAGTGTGCTGCTAGTGATTAGCAGAACTCTAATTGCAGTAAAAAGTATGGGGAGAAGTTGAGATATAAATAATGATCCTGTATATTTCTCTAGTTAGATGAATCCCACCCAAATTCCTGCTGACCCTGGCAAAGCTGCTTCTCTCTGTATGTCAGTTTCTAATCAGTAATGGGAGCTGCTGGGGGAGCTCAGATACTGTGACAAGGGCATGCCCAAAGCCCTCAGCCGAGCTGCTGTGATAAATACTGAGGTGAAGGTCTTGAAACAGTAAAGAACCCAACCAGTCACCATGACACTGAAACTTGTTCCTTATATTTTAAGATTACGAAGCTCAAGATTGACAACAATCCATTTGCTAAAGGTTTCCGCGAGCATGGGAAGAACACTCGAAGGTAAACTGTTTTTTCATCTTTATAAATGGAGTTCACTTGTGAATTTTACCCAAGGCCATTGTGCAAAACTATGCCAGCTAGCTCTGCAGAGCCTGTTGCATTGTGCACACTGCATTTGCCTGTATCTGGGAACGATATCCCCCTGTGCAGCCTCCTCCCAAGAGACTTGGGGAGTGGGAGGAGATACAGGATTTCCTACCGAAATGTGAGAGATGTTGACAAATTTGAGACCTGCGTTCCCTTGCAAGTTGGAGCTAGACTGGAGTCTGACACATGAATAGCAGTGATAACAGGAGTCCACAGTAGATCATTTCGTCTCTTTGAGATTAGCTTGATTCTGACATTTGGAGGCTCCCTCATTTCCTTTTGCTGTGTGTGGAAAAGCGTCTCATCCAACAGGAGACTTTGTCTGCAAGAGGGAAAGTAGATAATAATACCAGTGAGATCTTTTGTCTGGTCTGAGGGCAGCCAGTGGATGAGATGAAAGAAAAAAAGCTTAAATGCAACTGTAGATGGGCAATGGAGAAGCAAAAAATGTTTTTTTCCAAGCAGAAAATGTTATGAAAATATCTGAGATTTTGTTTTGTGTTATTTTATGCCTGAAAAAGAATGTCATTTCCTGATGAAAAAGGACAAAACTGACTTTTCTACTTAAACTTTGAAAATGTCATGGATTTTCTTTCTCCTCCTAATAGGATAATTTCTCACTAAGCTTAGACTCATTTTCCATTTAGGAAAAAGCTGCTTTCAAGCAGAAGACCCACCCTACTATACATGCACCTGTGTGGGTAGTACGCATATCCAACATCGGACTACACTTACAAACTCGATGCCAAAACCTCTGGTGCTGGGTTTCCATGTTGATTGTGCCTTTTGTACAAACATGGAGCAGGCAACCCCTTTACTGATTTATCCCCAGTATCCTGCGGGGCCAGGGCTGTCACTGGAAGCTTACATGCAAGCTACCCCCATGTCTTGTTTCTTTCCAGGGAAGGACGAGCCAATTGCCAGAAGCCTAGTCCAGCCAAGGGCCAGAAGAGGAAGCTGCCCAAGGAAAAAGAGTCTGGTGCTGAAGAGCGTGGTAATATTGATCACAACAAACCCAGAGAATGATTTTCAAACAGTGCTCGAGCCACAGGAGGGAAAATGAACAGCAACTTGGCCCCCTCTCTGGGGAGAGTGGCCTGGGTGGAGTCCCTAAAGAGTGCTGTATATGGCTTTGAGTCTCTGACTCTTTCTGGAAATGATCCAGAGGAGACTGCTCACAGGTCGCTTGTCATTACTGACTGCTCATCAGCTCTCTCACCAGCCTGCCAGCCTGGCCGTGCTTTGTGACCATGTGTGATCGTAGGCTGTGCTTTCATAACATTTCTCTTCAACAGTGATATGAGCTTGCAGTATCACCCGTCGCTTTCTTCTTGGTTCTCATTGGTGCAGTTGTGCCAGCAGTGCTGTTTGTGCAGCTGGGTTGTGATGCAGATGTGGGGACTGATATCATTAAAAAAAAAAAAAAATCTTTTTCTGTTAGGTTGTTTTATAAGCTTGATCATTCCTTGCTCCAGTTCACAGTGCTGCTTGCAGTAGCACAGCTAAGGAGAGAGGACAGGGCGGGACCAAACACCACAGTGCAAGGTCAGAAAAAAGCTGGAAAGGACTAGTCCCTTAAGACAGTATGACTGCAGAAGAGGTATTAATGTGTTTCCTTCCACCATCCTGCGATTAATGCAGCTGCCAATAGACCATTGTGAGCTCTGGCTCTCTTCCCCCTTCTCATTTTTTTTTCCATTCTTTCTTTTCCCTGCTGTGAGTCAGATTTTGAGAAAGATGAGAATGTAGATGTGAAAGAAGAGAGTAACCCCGTCGTGGTCAGCAGCGGCTACCCCTTCTGGGTCTCAGAGCAGAATAGCAGCCATGCCTTTCCTGCAGCATCACCCGTGCCAGCTGACCAGAGGGAGGGTCTGGCCAGAGAGCAGCAAGTACCTACACCATCCTACCAGACATATCGGTGAGTCCCACCTCCTGGTGCTCATGTCCAAAGCCACCCTTTAATTGATGGGATTCCTCTTCTACTGGGTATTTCCTAAGAAAAACAGCCAATGGGAGTAAGGAAGGATGCCTCTCTGTTGGACAGCATACCTGGGTGATAGGTGCTAGATTAGCACAGATTTAGCTCCACAACAAAGCCTTTCTGTGTCACTTCAAACACACTGATTCTGGGCACATGCATCTCTTAGTAATGCTCTTTATTTCCCTGTCCTGAAATGCTCTCCCAGCCGGCTCTGTGTACCGCAGAGCTTGCCTATCCTTTGGAAGAAATGTGTTGGAGGAGTGGCAGGACTCCAGTGATATTTTTTTTTTTTTCCCTCCTTATCTCTGCAAATTCAGGCATGACTTACAGTGAGCTCAGACTAGAACTGAGCCAGAACTAGAGAGGTCTGGGCTTACCTTCTCTGGCATTTAGTATTTCTGTGTGTGTGACAGCAAGGGTTGGACTAAAATCCCCACTAACAGTAAGATGAAGCAGTAGGCCAGGGGAAGAGGGCATGCTAAGAGCTTGCCCTGCCTTTCCCCAGGGGTTCTGTGTGGGTTTTCAGTGGTTTTCAGCTGCGGTAGGTTTGACTCGCTCTTCTCTCTGCCCTCGGGGCTCAGGTTCCATGAAGCTGGGGACAGTCAGCAGCTTCCCACCCGCGATGCAGCAACCTTGAACGATTTCCGGGCAAGGTGCCACCCCTTGGATCTCGCCACGGTGCCCGAGCACGACTCCAAACAGCTCCCAGAGGGTTTCACCAACCTGCCTCCGCTCCCCCCGCCTCTGCCTCCTCCCCAGGACTACACAGGAGTGGTGAACATGGCTCTAGACTCTGTTGGGAAACCCGGGGCCCGAGCACCCATGTACAGTCCCTATGGCACCGAGCAAGGCCTCGGCCAGTGGATGGTGCCTTCCCACAGCCAGTACAGGGCAATGAGCTACTCGGCCTTCTCCACAGAGTACAATACGCAGGGGGCTCCGGGACATGCCCATGGGACCATGGCAGAGTGGAGCCAGTACCCTCTGTTCCCCTATGCCTGCTGGTGAAGGGGGAAGACACTTCCCAATGAAAAAACTGAAAGAAAATTGTAAATGAGATCAAATTTGCTCTGGAGTGTTGACCTTTTGAAGCCTTGCCTACACTAGGCAAAGAGGTATTGCTGCAAGAGGTAGCATGGGACACCTTCACTTCCTTGTCTCCTTGCTCAACAACCCTCACTGTATTTCACAAGCAGTGGCTAAAGTGGTGGCTGCCCCAGCCGTGTCAGTGTGGGTCTGGCTGAATCAATGCGTTCTGTAGTGCTTTTTTTCCCAGCAGGAGTAGGAAACCAGAGGAGCTGTGAGAGCAGTATTTAAAGAGCTGCCGAACTCTGTCCTGGGCTGTTTGCATCTTGCATTTGGCAGTTTCCAAAATCCCTTCCTCCCAGGACTTGCGTGCAAGGAGACAGGGGCTGAGGAGTTTCAGTAAGCTGTCCAGGTGGCCAAGAAGCTGTAGAGAATTATTGCAAAGATGAGCAAAATGAACAATCCCAGTGCCCCCTTGAGCAGTTTCCTCACTTAGTATAGTCAGACTAAAGCTAGAGTCTTGCCTTTCTTCCAGCAGCATATGAGAGTAAAATACATAGCAACGCATGTGTGTCTGGAGCACAGCAGCGGGTCGTGCGGGCAGGGAAGAGTTTGTCCCATGCAGGAGAAGCGGCAGCAAGGCTGTGTGTTGTGGCTGTGTGTCCCCCGTGCCCATCCCTCTTCTGTCACCCCTAGATTTGAGGTCAGTGAGACACTCTTCTTTCTGCTGGTGGTGGAGGGAGGCTGTTCACAGAACATGGGGGGGGCTGCCCTGGGGACTTCCAAAGGCCCGTGGCTGTCCGAAACAGGGCCACGAACAGCAGTGCTGGCTGTGTCACTCCGACCTCTTCCTTTTGAGGGAAAGGAAATCTATCACTGTGAACTCCTTTCTTCTACCCTGTGCTACCCCCAGAGAATATAATTTATAGTTGTGGTTACCGTGCTACATTCTGAGTGAGCTTTGTCAATAGACAGTTCTCACCAGCTTGGCGTTGCTCCTCGGGCATGTACTTTAACGAATACCCCGTGTGCACTGAGCTGTGTGCTGCATTGCTGGTGTGCTCCACACCTCCTAGGCTGGTTGGCAAAGTCATCTTGCTGCTGTTTGGGAGTCTGTAAGGATCGGCTTCCATGTTTAGTTATCAGAGCAGTTTCACCTCCCTCACCTCTGTGGTCCCATCGTGGGGAGGAGCTGTTCTGCCGGTGAGCAGCCTGCGCCCTGCCTTGCAAAGAGGATTTCTTTTTTATCTCTGTGCTAGAAGGGGGAAGCGTCCTTGTTTGCTCAGGTAGCAGGATGGCCCTGGCAGTGGGGTTGTGTTTGAGACAGTCTGTTTGCTTCTCAGGGAGGATAGACATGTTCCTAGGTGTTATTTAGGGAATGCTTTCTTGTAACACTTTAAATAAACTACTGTGTGGCCTGTAGCCATCAATAAGCAGTGAGGTGTGCCATTTAGCATATGTGCCAGATGGTTTTCTCTGTGTGTGCGCACGTGTGTGTGTATCAAGATGATGTCTGTGAGCAGACACTGTGACCACCAGTGCATCAGGACTGGTGTGCAGGTACACCAGGAAAGGCTGTGCACTGGTCTGTTTGGGTCCCAGGTCAGCACTGTGCGTGTGTGTAGCGTAGAGGTGTCGAGCCATGTTTATTATTGTTAAAATACTTTGAAAAGTAGCCCTGAAAATTTGTGAAACTTGACTAGAATCACTACTTCCTTATTTAAATAGCCTATCGTTAACTGCTTTTGTACCACAATTACGATACGTACAAGTAGCCAAGTACTTCCTCTCAGCTTCACAGCATAGGTGTGAGGTGTGCAGCGTTTAAAGAAAGGTCAGACTTCACCACAGTATATGTACATAATACCCTATTAGCCTCTCTGATAGCACCCTGGCCAGGAGTGATTTATACCTGCTGTGCATGACATGAATGTGGATGCAAGTGACTCACTAAGAGGAAATCTGGTTGGGGAAAATATGTGGAGGAGATTGTTTTCAACCCCAGAATATTATCATTTCCTGCTATCCAAATGCCAGCTGTGTGAAGGTAGGTCAGCTGTGAAAGGCTGTCCTCTGTGGATGAGAAAAATATTCTGTCTCTGACCATTAGTGGTTGATTTTGCCACCCCTGTCTTCCACATCTTGGAAATCAGATGAGGAGGCTGGCTGGAGAGCTTGGTGCCTCGAGCCCTGTGTGCAGGGACCCTGGGGGTGGTACCTTCTGCAAGGCAGCCCTCCTGGCACCCCGCCGTGATCGCTGCCAGGGCCATGCTAACAAGAAAAGAGAAAGTAATACATCCCCTCCACAGGCTACTTGGTTAGATCTGTTTCTTTATCTTTGAAGTTGGGTTGTATTTCTCTCTGTCACAGGGTGCTAATGAGGATGAAAACCATGCAGTGGTGAGTATGAGTAACTGAGGAGAGCTGGGCAGCACAGGGAAACTCCTGTGCAAACGTGGGTGTAATGTTCTTTTTTTTTTTTTTCAAACCTTCAGAGTAGCGTTGCAAGTGCTGCTGCCCCAGGGGCCTGTCAGTAGAGCTGATTTGGCAGACGGCTCTGCACTGGGGTAAAAGACTCAGCCTTGTGCCTAGGATGAGCCATTAATTACTCATCAGCCTTCTGTTGCAACAGGACTCCTTGCCCTTCATCAGTGAATCATCCAGTTTATTAGAAAAGTACCTTTACTTTCCTTGTTCGCCTGTCTCTGGTTAGAGACTGTGGCTTGGCTGGTTTGTGAAGCCTTTGGAAATTTTGCCCGTAGGTGTGTGCTCTGGACTGCTGCCGCCTCCTCCCTTTGCAGTTCCTACTGTCTTGTTTTCTTCAGCTGTGGCATTTAAAAGTCTGTATGAGCTCGACTGAAATGCTGTTTTTGCACGCATGTGAGATAATGTAATGCCTCTCTGACAGCTTCAATAAAAGGAAATGAGACATGCGGAAGGCAGGCCATTAAGAGCAATAAAATAAACTCTAAAGTGTGGTTTTTGTGCATCTCTTTCAAGCACACCAGTGGCTCCACTTTAGTCGTGTTACCTGGGGCCAGTTTGTACATGCATGACACATGCTGTTGATCTCGGATCTCAGTGTTCATTGTTCTCTGCAGCATATTCAGTGAGCCTCAGGTTATCTGCTTGCATTGCTAGATGTGACTCAGTCTCTTGTACTAATTCTTTGCAGCAAATTGTTTATTTTCTCTGTGTTTTCTGCTTCTCTCCTGCAGAGGAGTTACATAAGGATTAGGGCAAATGGACTATAAGAGGGATCTAGGTAAATTTCCTATGGGAAATAAAGATCCTGATTTATTTTGGCTTCTCCTACTGGGTTTTGCAGCCTTAAGCCTTGTCTGACACTGCTTCAATGCAGATAGGAATGGCAGAAAAATGCTTTATTGCCAACACTGCAGTTATTCCACAGAGAGCTGCATCTCAGGAGGGATTTCCCGCAGGCTGGGGAGAGGCACCTGTGATGCTGCTTTTCTGCAGCGTGGCAAAGTACCCACCTCTCCCCACGCCTCTCAAAAGATATGGCAAACCCTCCGAGGGGTGCAAGGCCCCCTCTCGCCTGGCCCAGGATGTGGCCTCTGCACTTCTCACACCCTCTGGCTCTGCAGAAGAAGCTACCAGCTGGTTTCAGTAAAGGCTCATCAGATTTCCAGGTGCTGGAGGGAGAGAGGTGCTCAGCTGGTGAAAACCAAACTCGGTCTGATGCCACCAGATTGGCCTCCTTGGACTGGCTGAGCCGGGAGGGAGAGCTGCTCCCTGTCACCTTCTGTGTTAGCAGTGAGTCCTCGTGTGCGTGGTGCCCACGGGGGCTCACTGGGGCCTGGGTGGGCTCCTTGCCTGCAGAGGGGCAGGAGGATAGCCTGGGGAACAGTGTTTCTGTGCCCAGGTGGGCTGGGGTGCTTGACTCCACTTGTAGCTGGACAGCCAGGCTGAGCCACACTCGTTGCTTCTTTTGGGTTGACCTCACTGCCCAGTGTGGGGGTGTCTGACGTTTGGTCCTTGGTGACCCTCCTAGGAGACTCCTGCAGTGCATTTCCTTGGTTAGCATATGTACCGGGTCACGTTAAGCAAGTCCACGCAAGCAGCACAAACCCCCTTCCAGGAATAATAACATTCTTCAAGTCAAATGGGTTTTCATTGTAGATCTTAAAAGCCACTTAATTCGCGCGCCCCAGGTTGGGATCCCAGGAGCCTCTTAGCAGGGGGGGATGCGGCATTTGGCTGACAGCATCAAACAGCAGCCATCACCATGTGGGGCTGGACCAGCACGAAGCCGAATACCTCCTGCCCGGGCAGCTGCCAGCACCCCCAACCCCCCCACCCCCCCCCCCCCGCTCATCAGGGACCAAATGTGCAGGGTGCAGGTGTCTTCACTTACCTGCTTCCCCACCCCCAGCCTGAATTTGTTTTGTAAGTGGCCAAGAGGGAAGGAGAGAGGGGGTAAAGCTGTCCAGGGCCAGCTGGAGAAGGGAGGACAAAAGGTTTTCTCCAAAGTGTGGGGAGGGGTGTTGTGTTGCACTTTCCCTGCCTGCCCAAAGCCCCCCTGGAGCCTGGCTGGGCTCCCCCGGGGCTCGGGGGCACAGCTTTGCTGCGGTTTTGTGGGAGCTGTGCGGGGTGCCTGGGCCTCCCTGCTTCTCTAGGGCTCAGCTCGCAGTTCCCCTGGCTGTGAGGAGCGGGCGTGCTGCTGGCCAGGCTACCGGCAACTCCAGGTAAGCTGGCTTCACTGTTGCACTTTGCAGAGATGTAGTAAGGTTTAAATGTGGCTTCTAGATGTGACAACAAATCTGAGCAGTGGAAGCCCAGGGAGAGGCAGCACAGCTGCTTGCAGGCTCACAGGGCAAAGGGAGGCAAGCCGGGAAGGTGTTTCTCCTCCACGGGCTGTGCTCCCTGCAGCCCATGGCGTGTGCTGCCCGGAACAAACGCTGAAGACCTTGGCCTGAGCAGCGGCATCAGACAAAAATCTAACCAAGGCTGAAGCAATCCTTCAACACAGGGGTGAGGAGAGGCGCTGCAGCTGTGATGCAGTGTTGCTGCTCAGCTAGATTTAGTGTTGTTCCTTTTTGTTTTTTCAAGTTGTGAGTTTGATTTATGGCATGAAGTACTTTGCTGTAGGGTGCTGGATTGCTTCTGACACTCTTATAACACTTTATTTTTTTCTTTAAATGTGCAGGTGTACGACTACAGTGTTCCTGCCCAGACAGCACCCTGCTTGGTGAGTGTAATGGATGGATTTAATTTCCATCTCCTACAGTTCTTTGGGGACATACTGAGCTTTTTATTTCTTCCTCTTCTGTATCTACTGAAGAGGGAAAATTTTGTGCCTCCATAAAGGAGAGTGGGAGCGGGTAGCTAGCAATATAGGACAGGCACAGCATCAGTCATGCAGCCAGGCATAAAACATTTCTGTTTTGGTATCTCTGCCTCAAATTGTAAAAATAATACTGTACACATAAAACACAGCAGCTGTTCACAGGAGGCCTCCTGCGTGCTGACACTGTCGCTGCTCCAGCTCCCATCTGTGGGGTTGCACAGCTCCGGTGCCTGGGGTCTCTGCGTAACATCCTCCCTGGGAGACGATGCGTTAAGGGTAGATCTGCGTGGAAATGCTGGTGCAGAGTAGAAGGGGATGAGTCAGGCCTGATTTCTGTCACACCGCAGGCTCTGTCCCCATGCTGGCTCTGTTCGTACTGAGCAGCCAGCCCTCTGCTCACCCATGATCTGGTTTTGGCTCTGGTTTACCAGCTAGAAGGGGCTCTGTGGAGACACAGCTGTCCAGAGCAGCTTGGGCACCACCCAGCAGCACTCAGGTGAGAGGGAAATGAGAATTGCTGCAGACTGGGTAAGTGTAAGTCAGCTCTCCTGCATCCTTCGGGGCGTCCCTGGCCGTCATTCTCCAGGGATAAAAGCAGTGAGGACTGATCAGCGGAGGAGATGTGATCAAAACTGCCGTGTTTACCAAAGGGATATGCTGAGTGTTGCACTGACATGGGCTGAATGACACTAATGTGCTCCCTGTAGAGCCCCTGGAGACACAAGGGCAATTTGAAAATCATGGATGAGAAAGCTAGGCCAGGACAGCACGGTTTTCAGCTAATCAGGCTGGGCTGGCAGTGGAGCCCTGCCACATGTTTCTCATCCCTTGCTTCATCCTGCCCGTATGTCAGTTAATGGCCCTGTCCTGCCTCCATCCTCAGGGACTAATTGCCTCACACTTGAGCAAATGTGCTTGGTGTTTAAAAGGAGTCTATCGGATTTGTGTGTATTCCTGAAAGCCTCACAGGGCCCTGTTTCCTTTGAAGTGTAAAAGCATCTGTCTGTCTCTGCTCCTCCAGCAGTCTCCTGCTCCATTTGCATCTCCTCTCCGGCTGGCAGGGGCAGCCCGGGAAATCCACCCCTGGCCCCATGCAGCGTTCCAGTTTTGGGCTGCTGAGAGGGCTCCCTGCCACGGGAAGATGGGACTTGAAGACAAAGGTGCAAAGCTTCAGTCTAGGTGGGGGGTTAGGCTCAGCTTGCAGCTTGGAGTGCTCAGGATGGAGATATTTCTGAAGACCAGTTTCCAGTTCTCCCGACATCAGGCATGTTCTTACTGCACATTTACCTGCGGTGGATGCATTGATTGGGAAGGAGAGCAAATAGCCCCTGGCTTCTTCCCACCATGGTATTTGGCTCTCTCGTGCCAGACAGCACTGGTTGGTAAGGAAATAAGGCCAGACCCGGGCTGCTTTGCATAATCCACCATTCAGGATCTGAGCTGCGCAGGGGTGACCAGAACCTGTGATGGTTCTCTGACGTACTTTTGAACAAATACTATTGAAATTCAGACGAGTCCCTGCTCTGTGTGTGGATGATTTGGCCTGTGATTCTCCCCATCCCACCTCCCCTGGACAGTAGGGCTGGCCCTGGACAGGCTGCTTGTTCCCACTGGGGTGTTTTCACGTAGGCACAACCTTACAGCAGCTACTGTATTTCTGGAGCCAGGACTAAAAAGCTCTGTTACTCCTTGGTTATATCCAGGGTGGCAGTGAGAGGGCAGGACAGATAAATCTGGGCTTGAATTGCAGGGGCTGCCTGTAGCCGCTGCCGTCCAGCACCTCCCAGATGATGTGTTGGGTTTCCTATTTCAATGGGGTCTCGGCAGAGCAGCGGTGGCACCTCACTGTTGGAGGCAGTAAATGGGCTCCCATCTGGTTTTAATGATCAGTAGCACTTCGGTGTTTGTTTATTCCCATGTTTTATGCTTCAGCAATAAAATACTGCTTCAGTTTGTTCAATCCATCCTGGTGCTGGATGGAGATGAGTTCACAGCCTCTGACAAAGAGGTCCCAGCAGTATGCAGGATGTTGTTTTTTTTAAACATCTGGGCAAGATCAGATGATGTAGTGGCAATTAGTTTGAAATACAAACGTCAGTGGACAGTATAGCAGGTAGGGAGGGCAGCTCATCGTGTGCTTAGCAAAGAAATCTTGTCCTTGGATTAAAGGAGGAGACTTCTGGTTATGGAGCTGGAGCTGTCTTCCCTTCTGTCCCCCACAGGGCAGCATGGAGCTCTGATGTGGAGTCCAAATGAAGTTAGTCTCAGCTTTAAAACCAGGTACTTGAGAAAATTTTAGTCCCAAAGTGCTGCCTGTGGCTATCACTCAGCTTGTGTTTTAACCCTCCTATCCTGTTAGAGTGCTGAAATGCTGGTAGAGATAGCAGAGGTGCTGGCAGGGCCCCGTCTGGCCGTGGGCAGAGAGCAGCACTGCTGCAGGTTACCAGTGCTGCGGGGCTCGGGGCAGCTACAGCGGGACTGGGACTTGTTTTGCAAAATTCTCTGGAGTGAATACAGTCTAATATTAAATTAATCTAAGGAGGAAACTGTTTGTAAGGGGTTGGTAGGGATTTCTGGTGTTGCTCCCTCTGCCTAGCACGCTTGTGTTACCCGCCCGGTTCGTCTGGGAGCAGAGACCCTGTCTGCCAGCAGCTCTGGTGCT